ATATCCAAACAGAGCGATTTAAATTTAAAACACGTATAACAATCATGTTGGTAATGACTTGTCATTTGACCAATTTAAAACAATCGCTGTCACCAATGCAGGGATAAAACGAAATATAGCTGTATATAATATAGATATTGATTTATTTTTGATCAATTTTATAACGACTAAAAGGGTGGTAAGGGTAAATAAATAAAAGACTGAAGTTTTAACATTTACATTTATTCATTATTCTATATTCTACAGGTTTATATATACAATTAATCCTGGGTTCTATGTCTTGGCAGTCCTGGCTATGTTTGATCAATTTTATAGTGACCAAGCGCAAGAGTATTGATGCCATCTTCCAGAATAAACCTCTTGTCATTGTCAAACGATAGTACTTTCTTGTTCATGGTTAAGGTTTGAAGATGATGATTTGTAGATTTAATTCTTGTCACATTCTCATAGTAATCTTGCCCAGTTGCAAGACAGTTCAAATAATGTTGATGTCTAAGGAGATGTTTAACTGTAGCACCATCAGCTCCTTTAGCTTTCTTCACCTCTAAAGCTTGCTTGTCTTTTTCATATAACCATTTTAGAGGAATATAAGAATATAGTTTTGGTCTTAAACCACAATATTCATACATAATATGACCATCTAATTCGTCTTTAAACTTGCCAGTGACTTTTTTATTTTTATCAGAGTATAAGAAATGGTCTTTACTATATCCAGAGGTATCAAAATAGTGCAAGTCACTTTCTATTTCCTTGTAAAAGTCCTCTGTAACTATAGAATACATTAAAGAATCTGTATCAGTCATAAGAAATCTTTTGTTCTTAAATTTTGACATATAATTATAGTGGAAATCATACATTATTACTTTACTAATATCCAAAATGGTCATTCCCAAATATATCGGCTTATTAAACTTTACAACTAATTTATTTAAATGTATAGCATGTAAATTGTTATCGAACTTTTTGCTACAGTCAAACCTTGGATTAGTGACATATTTTGTTAATAGTGACTCATCCTTGAGATATATATCACGAAACTTGCGTTGGTTCATAATTGTTCGACCAAAGAGACTATTATTTAACAATTTGTAAAAGTCTTTTTCAAAATCATTTTTAGCACATTTGCGTTTTTCAATATTAAAATTAATATAGGGTGCAAGCCATTTTGATTGTCTAAATTTTAAAATTCTATAGTATTTTGTAGCAACCAAACCTAATTCCTCATATTTTTGTAATGCTTTATAATGTAAAATATATTTAGTTTTGTCATTTAAATTAGGTATTAATTTGCCATTCATTTTCTCAGGTGCTAATGGATAGTCATTATGTAAATCATGTAAGCTTTTATCGTATTTTAAATCAACTTCTAAGATATATCCAAACTCATCATTTTGATTGTTTTTGTAGTCTATCTCATTCGTCCAACGAAATCCATCCACGGGTAGTGTCTCACACATAGCTGTGGAGTATAGCGAGTTACAATCTAAATATATTAAATACACACTTTCTTGATTGGGATCATAATGTTTGCCCATATATCTATTATTGGCTTTAGCGTAACGTGTGGAAATCATACTGACTCCTCCTCTAATCGCACTTTCTATGAACAAATGCATGTCAATATCTTGAAATAATTGTAATTTTATACCAGTCATTCTAAGACAAGCTTCCCATGTTAGTCCTGGAAGTGAATACATATGTACGGGGTCAAGTTTGTAATCCTTTAAACACAGGTCTCTAAATGTCTCAAACACATCAGCCAGTAGCAATACATCTGTTTTAAGATATATATCATGATATTCTTGTAAATTATGTATATTAAAATGGGTCCAGACATTTTTAGCATGTTCATATTCGATGGGAGAGATATGTTCTTTAGTTAAAGTACTGTAAAATTTTTCAATTGGAGGTAGAGACTCTGCAAACTTATCTGGTCCTGTCATATATTCATAGGGAAATACGCCTTTGCGTTGTAGTAGTGGATTGTCTATGAATCTAAATGTATTTAAATTGGAAGCTAATTTGTATAATGGAAGGGACAGAAAGTTATAGGAATCTAAAAATACTAAATCATCAACAGAGAATGAAATGTACTTTTCCATATCCTTGGCTATGCAATTTAATTTACGATTAAACTTTCCCAAGTGTTGCATTATTAAATGTCCATCATAATTTTTCAAGTTATGGAAGAATACTGGTATTTTCTTTGTTATTTTATAGTTTAAATTACAATCATTATGGGCAGCTCCACGGTATCGGCCAGATGAATGACAATGATCACGTACCCTATCAAAATATAGGGGCTTTTCACAAATGTGACAATGCGTTGAGTTTTGGAAAGATGCCTCTTGTTCAGGAGTCATTACAAGAGGAATATATATCGCCATTTGACTTTTAATGAAGTCATAAGTCTCAAACAACCTTTTGAAAAACACGTCCATAACATTTTCGCCACTGTATAACTCTTCAGAAATAATCTTAGAATCTCTCACTACAACAAATGCAAATCCAGATGGAGTATGATTGTTTGAGTTTATAAAACATTCAAAATCTGCATAAATCACAAATGGGGCTTTAAGTTGATATTTATAGTTTTTAAATTGTAATGTATCTTGTTTAGACATTTCCACTCGTTGGGCATCAAAGTTTTTACAATATGTTATATGACGCTCCAATTTATCATTAGTGTAAAAATGTTGTAAACACAGCTTACAAAAATGCTTCTTATGGTCGTGTTTTGTAGACCGCAGCATTAACCTATTAAAATCACGAATTAAACAATAATGTGATTTACGACCTTCTTGTAATAATAATAAATCTACATGAGTATTACTATTCAGTTTAGTTGTTTTTAATGGATATATACATGTATCATCTTCAACCCCAAATACATTAACACTTATATTATTTTGTTTTTCAAATTTATCTATATCAGCTAATTTCACAGGATACTTTATGTTTGACATATTCAGCTGACTTTCATGTGGTACATAATTGGAGACTCTATTAGCATTTTCATTAGAGTTCCTTGGATATAAAGCTGCTAATACCGACCAAAGAAAGCATTTATTATCATCATTTTTTATATTTAAAACTGCATGTTTCGATTTAATACTCTCTGGTGTAGGTATATATGACTTTGGAGTTAGGGGCTTATACTTGTAAACATGTAACTGCCAATATTTAGTATGGTCATATATCCATCCACTACCTTCCGCTTGATATTTGTGCATGGAAGCGTCAATCTTTAAAAGTGCATTTTCAATTTGAGGCTTTAAATCTCTCTTCTCAATAGTTAAGGTAGTAAGGCTTCTAAAATCTGCAATACATTCTTTTTCATTGACTAATTGTCCATTTTGATCCATTGAATATTTTATAAATTTGATTCTCCTTACTAAAGTCCATTTTATCGGCAGAGGACAAGACTGAAGAGTATTTTTAAGGTCAGCTCTAATCGATTCACCGACAAATTTAATCATTGTATATGGACATTTGATACAAGAATTGGCGTGTCTTTTAAAATGTCCAACAACATTCGTTTTACAGAAATTACAAGTCTTGTGATTTTGTAATATATGTGATTTTAAAGCCGCGTTATTATCACAGATTAAATTGCAAACTTTACACAGTTTCACCTTCATTTGATGAATTACCTTGTAGTGGCGAATGAGGTTACTTTTGGTGGAGAGCGACACAGAGCAGTGTTGACAGGTGGGCCTCATGGTCCAGAATGAAATATCACCCGAATGTCACTTCTATTTATAGATTTTTCGAAAATTTAAAAAAATTTTAACCAGAAATTGTGAAATTTTCAAAATTTTTAGCTAGAAATTAAAAAAATTTAAACAATTTAACTAGAAATTACTTCAACAGGAGGTCACCCACCCAAGGCTTAATCAAGAGCTACCACTAGAGACGAGAAAACTGACCATGAGTCGGGAGCGAGAAGCCTGACCATAGGTCGGGAGCATGACCGGGAGCATGCCATGAGCCGATTTCGCATACAAACCTCGCACTGTTAAGTTGATGATTTTGTGAATATACATGCGAATGGATGTGGGTTTGAAATAGTAATGTAGTTGTACAATGGTATTGAACATTAATATAGGCTTGTATTGGTCGAGAGCAGGATTTTTGGAATTAGTGGCTAAAAAAAGCTCACCATTTCCAGACATGTTTTTCAGTATTAAAAAAGTAGACAATTTATATAGGGGTGTATAGGTCGAGAGCTGGGTCTTTAAAAAAAGTGGCCAAAAAAAGCTCTTCCATTTTTTTCTCATTTTTCCCCTATAAAAAGTGCCCTAAAAGTGCCTCTAAAACGCCGAAAGTGGGGTCATATTCTGGGTTCACCACTACTCTAAATTTACACTTGTAAGGGTCAATAAATATAAGAAATAGCTTTTTTAGCTTAATATCAAATATATTTATGGGGAATAAGTAAGAAATAAGGTTTGACAATTATATAGGGATATTTAGGCAAAGATCAGAGTTTTTGGTTTTGGTGGCCAAAAAATGATCCTCAATTTTTCTCGTAAAAAAATGCAAAAATGCCAACATATAGCCTCTAAAACGTCTCCAGTGCCCCTATAAACGTCTCCATACCCTCTAAAAATGGGCCAAAAAATGCCGGAAGTGATGTCTCTTTGCCATATTGCCTCTACTAACAACACTACATTCTCTGGAAACTAATGTTATTTAAATAGAGGATAAATATGACATTTTAAGGAAATGCTTTAGAGAAAATCTAATCAGGCAAATGGAAATATCATTAGTCTGCAGGTTTGCTTCGGTTGAGGTATTGATTTGGTTGATAGCCTTAAACGATTGTCACAAATTGATAACTGTATAACTTAAATAATATAATAGATTTTAGAGGAATTTCAGCCAGGGAAATGTAAATTCACGAAGTCTTCAGGTTTATTTAAAGTATTTATTAGTGTAGCATAATCTATCCAACTTTTTTTTAATCAAGGATGAAGAAATCAAGTATTCCATGTCAGTACCTTTACCTTTTGAATGAAATACCTTTCTTATGACGCCTAATCATGTTTACATGAAGTAAAATAAAGATACATTGATTGATTGATTGAACTCATTCAGTGGAACGTCGAAATTACATCCTCTGAGAAACTTTAAAATCCTGTAATCAGATTTTCGAAATATGGAAAATGGATACTTCATCATTAAAATGGTTCTATGTTAAACGTGAATAAATGTACACAAATATTGTGGTGATTAAGGATAATAATTTATTGATACATAAAAAAATCAAAAAAGTAATGTTTTTAAAACAGCTCGGAATAATATAAGAATAAAAAACGAAGACATGACCACGCAGCTATAGTGCAACAGCTTTAACCTGAAACATTGAAACAATAAGTAAATAAGACTAGTGGTGTGTATAATCAATGTAAAATAGTAAAACATAGTAACTTATAAATTAAATGAACCATAACGTATAGTTTCTGCCTACGTACATACATTAGATGTAGTAAAATTAGGTCGAATGTTACCATTATGTTACCATGGATATACAGGATATCCAGTAAGTAAACATCCAGACTCTGGGGAATAGTCCTATAGTCAAATAAAGAAAAAAACCCTTCAGTATAAGATATCCATTATTTTGTATTTTTTTACATAAACACTTTATCTCTAAATTTTTCCAACCGATCTTTATGAAACTCGGTATGTATTTTAACGTATAAGAGAAACGTTTCGAATTAGAATTTTAAAATGTTTGCCATTTTCTTTTTCAAATTTTAAATTTTTTTTATTTTATGAAAAATGTCAAGGGCGCTTTTTTACTTGGCATTTAGAATTTCCCCATAAGTTAAAACAGATCGAAAAACAAATAGCAGAAATATCACCATTTTAGTAGTAAAACAAGGCAAATCAGGCCAAGATAGTCAAAGTGCCTCACTTTGTCTAAATTTGTAACTAATAGCCATTATATTTAAACAATTACTTGTTATTTTGATCCCTTTGGACCCTGTGTAGTTTGATAGGAAATTATAAATGACAAATAAAAGTATTTTAACATTTTTTTCATAAAATCAGCAATGTTTTGGTAGTTATAAACATTTATGTAATAACAATTCTAAAATGGCTGCAATTTTAACATTTTCATATTAGACAAAAATATCCTTTTTTCTATCATAGGTCACTTCTATATTAAAATACATACCAAGATTCACATCAGTTGGAACAATTAAAATACAGGGTGGTCTTGACTTAGTGGTTAAAATTGTTTGGGATGGAACACCAACCCAAATGTGACTCAAAAATACGATTTAAACAATTAATTATAAATTACACTTACTCAAAGACAAATTATTTGGATTATCAACAAAACCGTTCATTTAGCAAAACACTCCAAATTTGGGGGTTTCTTGAACATTATTTTTTGACTTCAATACTACTATTGCATTCTAAGTAAAATTTTGATTAAGAATAGTTAGAATAGTAGTGTTTAGATGAACCTGAAGTATCAGAAAGATGATTTAAATGGATTAAAACTAAACAATTACTGTATATTTTTTTTAAATGGGGAAAACACAAGCTTACATACAAATTTATTAATAACAATTCTAGAAAGTAGCAAATGCTATAAACTGTTTCAAACTGTAAGTTTTCAAAAGATATAATAAATTTTTATTTGTTGTCCTTTAAGTACATCAATTTTTTATTTGTTGTCCTGGTCAAGTAATGTAAAACCACGATTAAATAAAATTTCACTAAATTATAGCAAGTTCTTGTCGATACCTAAAATGTCTCTATGACAGATTTAATCCATCTTAGCTCTGAGATCATTTATATCAAGATTGTTTTCAATCAGGATCATGCTGCTAGAGTAAATTTCAGAATCTTCTAAATTCTGTTATTTAACAATATAACTTTTCAAAAATATCTTATCAACAGACGAAGCTCTTTCTACAAGACAATGTGTTTTTACCTTCCACAACATGCACATGTGGAGTACTGAAAACCCACAAGCACAGAAAGAAATGTCTATTCAAAAAAGATATTGCATAAGCGTTTGGGCAGATGTGAATGGCGATTGTTTCTTGGATCCTCGTATTTTTCAAGGAAGTTAGAATGAAGAGAAATATCTTGACTTTTTACAGCACGATTTGCTTCAAATTTTGGACGTTATTGAACCTGAGCACCGCCAAAATATTATAATTTACCAGCAGCAGACTGAACACCTTCTCACTTTACTAATGTCGTCCGAGACTGTCTGAGTATACCAACTACCCCACATGGATATGCTATGAAGGCCTTGTACCCTGGCCTGCAAGATCTTCTGATCTGACCCCATGGATTTCTTTGTAGGGATTAATTAAGGCTGAAGACAATACAACTCCAATAAATAGTGAAGGAGAACTTTTTATACCCAAATCGCAGCACAGACAGTAGGGAAAAATCCAAGCCATAAAGTGACTGTTGGGACAATGAGGAAAAGAGCAAAAGCGTGCATAAGACAGAATGAAGGACATTTTGAAAATAAAATGAAATAAAACAGCTGTGAATTGTGAGAGTGGTGAGTGATATCCATGATGATTCACAATACTTATGACTTTCCCTTTTACTTCTTTATGTGTGCAAAATATTGTTTGCAGCTTCAAGTTGCACCTGTAATTAAAATGAGGATGTGTGCTTTTTTCGTTTATAATTGTTTTTTTGATGTTTTTAAACCATGCTTTACATTATTCAAATAAAAAACAAACTGTAATTAAAATACAACAAATAAAGCAATGTATTACATCTTTTGAAAGCTTACAGTTTGGAGCAGTTTTTATAGCATTTTATACTTTCTAGAAATTTTCTTTAAACAATTTTATGTAAGCTCGTTGGTCCTTTTTTAAATTTAATTTTTCAGTTCTAATCCATTTAAATAATGTTTTTGATGATTCAGGTTCATATAAACCTATCTCACTAAAAATTTAACGTAGAATGCAATAGTAGTGTTGAAGTAAAAAAAAACCAAACCCAAATTTGGAGTTTTTCCTAAATGAACGGGTTTTTTTTAAATAATATAAACTTTCTCTCGAGTGAGTGTGTGATTAAGAATTTTTTAAATTGTGTATTTGAGTCACATTTGGGTTGTCGTACCACCCCAAAAATGTTTAACACTAGGTCAAGACCATGTAAAAAATGTCTATGTAAAAAAAGAAAGTTGCGAATATCTGTTTAAGGAAGTTTTTTGACTTGACCCGGAGTTCGTCTGTTTACTTACCTAGACATCCTGTATACAATCAATTATAAACTACTCTGTTGTACTGTGTTTAAGAAAGTAATGAGTGTTTGGTTAATGTTAGATTAGGCTTAACTGCTTTTATTATGCATGTTATTTATTTAATTTTGTATGATTTAGTGTTATCCAATTTGAAAAATCTGAATGTAGAAATTGGTTTATATATTAGGTTTTGGTTTTAATAACACCTTGTACCTGTCATAGATTTAACTGTTCTGTGATTTTTGTTTATTAACTGTATTAAGAGGTTTATATAAGTTGCTACTTTGCATGTTGCTAATGCTTGCTCAGGCATACTGTTATGATTGCTATGTTTTGCTCATAGTCTTTTTTATTTTACTCAACACCTTATTTCTTGTTTATTGTTATTACTTTATTATTTATAATGCTTTTGCATAGGCTAGTTTCTATTTTGCTTATAACAGCGATCTGTATTTCCATCGAAGTATTGTTTTTGGACATTGTATTTTATTGCATGTTGCATGGCAAGATCTATTGTAATGTATGTGTTAAATAATCAATAAAAAATCTGAATCTGTTTCATTCTCTGTTATTAAACAACATATACATTTAAACACGTAACCATACTTAAAGTAATAAGATGAAAATTATTAATTTGCATTTTCCATAACTAAACATGCGTATTATTTATACATAAGTTTACCGCTTTAGCCTGTTAGAAGCTCGAGGAATGGTGTCCAAACTGTCTCCCAAACAGTATAGTCGTACACCTCGGGCCAGGGTGTGCAGAAACTGGTCCCAGTCTAACTGTAGAATGTCAAAGTTGAAAGTTGACCTATCATGAACCCCCAGAGTACGCCATAGAGCGAGTGTGTTATTTTCTCGGTACCGTTGTGATGTCATAGTGTGGTGACTGAGAGCCTCGCAGAAGCCACGTAGAACCATATACTTCCTATACACCCTAGTTGTAAAAATACATTGTTAGTAGTATGAAAAAGGGGCTTTCAGGCCAAAGTCAGAAGTTACATTATTGGGGGATGGGGTAAGTGAAATGAAGGACAGAAGTTGTGTTATGGGGAAGGATTTGTGTTGAGGTTGGGATGGTTCGGTCTGAATTACGTCATGAAACGAATTTGTTCGAAAAGTCGTTGCCTGATGTTATTGTTAAATGTCAAAATCGTTCTAGTGTATTTTTTAAAACGCCGGGAAGGTTCTTTTGATATCACCATACAAAACTACTTACAATACAATATTTAAAAATATTACAGGTTTATTTCTGATTTCCATCTATTCCTTATCACTGAGTGTAGAAATTAGTTTCTTCAGTTTTTTCGCTGTTGATGACTCAAAAGTTCCTCTACCAACCTTTTAGTTGGCAAATGTATATGGATATTTGATTTTTGTAAATACATCCAATAATTGTTGATATAATCCATTTGCTATTCGTTTTTTACCTCCTGAGCCAATAGTTTGATATACGATTGTGTTGACAAGTTTACAGTAACATAATGTACACATGTAATTCTTGGTAACATTGTAGGGAAAATTCTGGGGGGTAACTTTACTCTCTACAATTAAAACTAGTTTCAATAATTATAGTGTAAATTAATGTTTCATAAGTCATATAAAATTGCGAAGAGAGATGAAAGTAGAGCATTTATACAACAGTCTATAAATATGAATTCTGGAATCAAGCATACATATGTATACAACACTGTTTTTATTTTCTTTGGGGATATATTAAAGTTGTCATAAGAGTGAAAATGAGATCTTAGCATCACCTAAACCTCTGTAAATTACAATAATCAAAGTCTCCAGCATGCCTGTGTAGGTATGTTATTTTGTTTTTATGTCAAATATATGTACTTTTTCCAAATGATTACATGTTTTAGCCTCCAAGAATATTTGTTTATTTTAATAAAACAGGATATTCGTTAAAATCCTAAGTCCTGAATGGTATTAATACATCTCGACCTGACTTAAATCTTTTTGTAATTGGATAATGTGATTCAAAATTAATCATTGAATCATATATGTGGCTCTCCAGATAACCTTATCCAATATTTAATTAAAATTAACTTCGGTAGCATCAGTAAGTGCTTTATTAATAACTTTATCATTTGACGATCTTAATGTAGCTTTCGTTTGCTTAAACACAGTCGAGATGGGATTGATCACCCCATGATAAGTATAAAACCCTACAGAGAGCACACTGTAAGAGGGCCAACGCAACAAGTTACCAAAGAGCTAATTTGAGTTTTGAATGTAAATTAAGTGGATCAAGTATCTTTTGAAACTTTGTAATTTTCAAGTCTCCCCATTTAAATCCTGTTCAGTTTTACCGTAGAGTCTGAATAAATTGCTAATAGCCTTTTCTGAGAGTAAATATTTAACACTCTTAACTATCTTAATTATATTATTGTAATTTGTTTTTGTTGTTTAAGTCTAAGTGTCAAATGTTATAGTTGTTAATTAATATTAGCTATCTTCAACCGTACATTGCACTACATATTATATTGATATAGATAGGTTTGTAAACAAATAGCACCACATCAAAAAATGGAATGTCCGTTGAAATAAAATAAAATAAAATAACTGTTTAATGGTGTTATAATTTAAGAACATCGGCATGGGTCTTTAGTTAAAAGAAATTAAATATGTTCACATATCCGCTGTTGGGACGCTGTGGCCAAATGTTGTATGCTAGACAAACCTAAGCTAACCCCTACTCCCCCACCCCCCTATGTGGTAGGGTAACCAACAGAGGCACTCGGTGAGTGACCTGCTCCAGTTATTGATAAGCCCTTCTCAATCAAGACTTTCATTATTTAGCTTAACTGTATTCAACCTGACCGAGGACAGTGCATTGTGTATGTTTAATGATGTTAAGTGATCAGATAAGCTCTTCTTATTCGGACAGTTCGTTTAAAATTCAAAATTAAGTGACATCACCTCCGGCCAAACATTTAATTGATTTTGGTGGTCTTTACTGCCAAAAGAATTTGCCAATTTGAGCTAGTGTGTCGGATATTGACGGATCTTGTGGATACGCTGTTCTTTCAACTCCGCAGATGTTGTGTTGAACTTTGACTGTGTGACTTCTCGACCAAGCGCTTTCGGAACTTCATATAGAATGAAAAAAGAGAGGCCCCTGTTATTTATTTATAGAGATATTTATTTGTGGTTATTTATGTTTCATGTTTAGGGGTTCCAACGTATCTTGTTTTGGTACTGATAATGGGTGTATAGTTGTGTAAGATCCTTGGTTAGCTTTGTCTCAAATATAATTTTGTCTGTTGGCCAACAAACAATTTGAGTATTATTAGGGTTTGAGAGTTTAGAGACAAATGTAATAACATGCTTATGCCGATGTGAAGTGAAGTCATTGTTTACTAGTTTTTTTTAACTCAAATCTTTGAATTGGTGTACCTGATTTTGTACTTGTAGGTCACCTAATTTTTGAAATGAGCGTACGCAGTTTTTCATTTCGTTCAGTTCTTCCATCAGACCAGTTTTTCCTGTGCGATATGGCTCTTCAACTTCACATCACACCTCGGACAAAACCATCTAGTCTTCTATTTTGCTAATATCATTACACTTTTTAGTAGGCTATTAATGTTCAGGCACTTGGCGTAGTGCCATGAACCACAATACCCGTCACATAATAGGCTTTTGTCCTCGTCCGTACATAAAATCTTACACACCAGGCGCACTAGCAAGTCCACTTTATCCGTCATTGCCACTGCCACTCGGAAGTCCTCTTTAGGCAATTTTGTCGGAAATATCTTTACAACATCAGGAAAAAGAAATGTTATACCATTTAAGAAAGAATCATTTTGTAAAACTGTAAGTGAGATATGTAGACGAAATTCTTGTTATCTTCATACAAACCCAGGAGCAAGGGCACGAAACAATGATGAATACACTGATCCCACCACCACCTTCCGCCATCCGAAGCCACCAACCGAACCTCACTTTTACGAACGAGTTTAAAGAAAACCAAAAGATCAACTTCCTGGACCTCACATTAGAGAGAAAAAAACAAGATCGAATTTCACATCTACAGGAAACCCACGCTAACGGACACTACAACCAACAGTAAATCTATCCATCCGACAATTAACAAGACCGCAGCCTTTCGATCTATATGTTGTACCGATTGTAGAAGATCCCACTTAACAAGCCAATAGGAAGAAAGAACTGAACACCATTCAGAACATTGTACAAGTTAATGGATTTCAAACCAATAACATAGAGGACATCGCAAGAAAGACAAGGAGGAAAATCAATAGCCAGAATAAACTACACAGCAGAACAACATTAGAAGAGATTAAAGAGGAAAACCACAGATACATCACTTTTATCTACAAGGGGACTACAACACAAAGGTATGCTAACAGATTCAAGAAATACACAGTTTCAATAGCCTTCAAGGCTCAGAACACCGTGAGTAAAATACTGCATCCTAAAATAGAAGCTTGTAACAAATTCGACACTTCGGGCATCTTTAAAATCAATTGTAACGACTGCGATAGCTTCTACATTGGACAGACTGTGAAATTCGTCAACCACTCCTAAAAACACATATCTGTGGGGAGGAACAAGAAACCGGAAGGATCAAATGTCGCACACCTGTTAAAATGGCCTTTCAATAGGAAAAATCGAGGATAGTCCATGTATTTTAAAGAATTGTAACAAAAAGATATGTAATGAATGCTTGATAAGAATTATATATTTATAATGAAAAATGTAAAAATATAATAAATAAGCTAATTAATGAACAGGTAAATTTTGACTCCAGTTATTCTTATAGAAATGTTTTTTCCGGTACTTCCGGCAGCCAATAGGATATAAGTAGGGGGTAGGGATTCAAGATTCTTGTCATTAGCCTATTGTGCCTTGTTATGATTGGAGTGTCCAATTGAAATCGATCACCATTTACCATCTTTTAAGTATATTTACCGACTTGTGAGTAACAGTATAAGCGTAAATATATGTTTTAAGTGTCATCAGACGTTACTTTTACTCACTTTCCGTAAATTTTATAACACGTACAATGCTGATCAAGAAGCGATTTACCTTTTACGGGTCTTCAAGGAAGTTCACCAACTTTACATCCAGAGGAATTGGATTTCGAGAAAAGTAGTCTGCATTCGTATGTTCTTTTGATGGTCTCTGTTTGATTTCATAATCGAATGCACTTAAGAATAGAGCGTATTCTACCTTAATAATTTATGTGCTGAGTTGACTAGCATAGCTTTCCTTGGATTTAATATTTGTTGAAGTGGTTTGTTATCTGTAATCAATAGAAGTTTTCTGCCGTAAATATACTGGTAAAAATATTGTAAAAACAATTTATTGTTAAATTTTTGTAAAATTATTATTTATTATTGTAATTTTTTTGTACTGTATCAATGTAATGGGTTTCCCGTTGGAATAAATAAATAAAATCTCTAACCAATACCAATACACAGCAGTGGCTTTTTTGTGTCAAGTTGGCTGTAAGCCGATTCACTCTTATTATAGGATCTGGAAGCAAATGCAATAGGTTTTGCTTGACCATTTATGCCATTGGACAGTACTGCTGAAAGACCAGTAGGTCCTGAATCCGTAGCTAACGTAACAGGATAGTCCAGATTGAATGGAGTTAACACTCTATCACTTGTGATTTCTTCTTTTAATTGATTGAAAGCGTGTTCGCATTTTCTATTCCATTTGAATTTAACCTCTTTCTTTAGAATTGGGATTATAATTTAAGTTTGGTCCAGCTTAGCATAAATGACGCCGTGAATTAATCTAAGGGTCAAGCTGTCTTCCAAATGATGTTTTACTATGATTGCAACATGACACTACCTAACATTTGGATATACATGATTTAATATGCACAACATTAACCTTAGATGATATGAAGGAAAATTTAATTATAAAAGATTTTCCAACGTCAAGAGGAGCATCAAGAAAAACAAAGAACGTTCAAAATATCAAAATCCAAAATCGCCTTTGTTGTGATCCTGTACAGACTATTAGGTATTAAAAAGAGGTTGACGGCCTCTCTTAACCTTGTCTTTCCCTGTCCTGAAAGGCTTCATGCCTGTGCTTGGAACGTATACGACAAAGCAAGGGGTAAGTAGTACAGCACAAGAGTTGAACTATACTGATAAAAGGTAGTGGCAGGTACCAAGATCTGAATCCTTGACATCGCTGCTCTGGGTCCAAAGTCGTAGGTATTACCAACTTAGACACGTACTCATCATCATCAATAGATTTTGACTAAAGGGGACAAAGGAATTCCAAGAGGATATGAAATTGGGAAAAAGAAAGCCATCCCAACCTAGATTATAAAATCCCGGTGCTGATTACCTTTTAAATACATACAAATAACCATGGCATCAACCAACAAGGACATCACCCAATTCATTAACTGACATCACTTACAGCCATTCAGCTAAATCACGTCACAAATTCCTCCAATCACGCCACTTCCGTCCTTTATGGCACTCGCATCCCCCGTCAATAAGTCAATTCTTGTTTCGGGTTGGCAGTCCCTCTTTTTTACTACTACGGTTAACTTGTGAAAATAGAAAAAGGTACATGATAACAGATTTAAAAAATTGTACCCTATTTTAATTACTATTTTTTTTAGGAGATGTCCGTCCAAATTACATGGAAACTCAAACTGCATAAACTGTGTAGTACTGCAATTATTTTGAAAATATGTATAAAGTTTATTGGTTCTTTATAAAAATACTTTGGCTAACCATCTAGAATTAAATATGTTTAGTGTACTCAAAAATAAATTTCTAGAGAAAAAAAATAAAAAACAACTAGGTATACTAGGGTACACTCTTGTACACAACTATTTACTAAAAAGTCATTCTGATACTTAATTTTTCATTTAAGGACTTAAAAAGTATACACGATTTTAACACAGGAATGGAAAAATAACTCAAATCTTTCTTGAGAAAAAACTATTAAATGAAATACGATAAGTCGTAAAGTGCTAACAAAACTAAACTAGTGAGGCTAAGGTTCTGAATTTAAAATGGCGATTACGTTTTTCGAATGTATAGTGTTGTTTAATTTCCACTTACAAGGCCACTTACCTTGACTTTTTCGCATTGAGTATGTTTGGATTGTCAGTGAAAGCATGGAATCTGTCAATTACAGTGGCTGGAAACAGATGGAAGATGTAGAACCACAATGTGAACCAAAATCTTGATTTGGTCAATAAAAGGTAAGGATACCAAGCCTGAAAAAGAAGCACCACATCAAAGATGTAAGTCACTTTAGTTACGGTAATGAGTTTTTCAAGTTTTTTGTAGACGATAAAATAAAAAAAAACGGCAAATCTTTTAGATAAAACAGGTCGATAAACTTTCAATAGGTACAAATAAGCATTTAAACCCTCAAGGCCTAAAGTCATACATAAGTAATACATATAAAAATAGATAGTATTTAAGATTATATTCTTGTTTTATTTAAGAATCATAATAAGTAGTATTGAAAATTAAATTTTTTGTTTCAATTCTAAATTAAATAATTGAGATTTCCCTTAAATTTTTAATTACCATGTCAAGAAATGGCACACTTCTCGTGTGTCTTAGGCTGCATACAAAAAACTCTCTCCACGAAAGCGGGTTTTGATTGGAAGAAACCAAGTTAAATATCGGTATGTCTGAGTCAGGAATAATTTGTCCAGGAATTTCTACTTCGTCTACTTCCTTGTTCTTCCAGTTCCTCCTGAAATAAATGGATATTTATGAAAACATTTAGCGGATTTTAAAGTTTATGCAGGCAATCACAATAATGTTTGATAATATATCAAAGGAGCCATTTTCATGAAAATTCTTATGATAACACCTTAAAATACACATTTTTATAATAATACAACAGTCATCGAAAATTATTTATAAGCAGCTATTGCTTATATTAGGATATATCCAAGACGGCTTTTATCATACCGTATATAGACAAATCTATCGTTCAAGATTTGGTTTGACAAATACGGTATAATTAATAATTATACCTTGCTGATGCTGTGTGAATGGCAACTGCAAGTATGAAGGAAGCAGCAAAGTCAGCCGGCATCAGCTCTGCGCAAATAGAATCGTCACATCGCAATGTGCAGAGTCTACCTCGCATCGCCTCAGTAAGTAGCTTCGTGAGACCTGAAGGAGACTCACGTGGCAACCAGCCAGCCAATGGCTCCTTGTATGTAGCCACCACTAATATAAAGAAATAACCAGCACTATAAAAAAGTTTAGCAAACCACACATGACTACAATAGTGTAAGTCACTTTAGTGGTATACAGTAGCAGGCGTTAAAAATAGAAGTAAAATACTATAGGTTACAGGATAAATATCATTCTTCTTATTCCAAAAATAATTTATCTTTCTTTCAATTAACTATCAAGACTATTTTTGTATGAAGGGTGGTCAACTGTATAGCATAGACTTACGCATTGAAGGCCTTACAATGGCCAGCGGCAAAGATCTCCGACTCTGACGAACGAGATCTTCAGCAATGCACATAGTTGTTAGACTGGCAGATTGGTCTCCAGCTATTAACCTGTATTCACATAATTCTATTAAATACATGAATCGATAAAATTACATGAAAAATGTCACAAGTTCTTAGATTACACCACAGCAATCACACATTTGTAAAAGCATCTTGTAATGTAAAAACATTTGTTTAATGTTTCCAAAGTCGCCTTTAGTATCTTTAGGAATCAAACTTTAAATATGTGATGGTTTGGTGTTAAATAATTCTAAAATAAATCAGCTACTTTCTTCAATGTACGCATTCCGTTTATTATGAAGGCAACAATGAGTCTTAATAAATATATCTACCTCCGTTGATTGACTGCTATTTTAGTATACAAGACTTAGCATAGTGAAGGAGAAAATCATTCTGACATTATTAAGATAGTACGTTGTAGATATCATAATTCCATTTATTTATTAGCAACGGTTTTTTCCTGTGTTCCAACAATACCCTCGGTCCTTGGCAAAAGATAAAATATATACAAGGCCATACATTTTAAGGAAAATATACGGATAAGTATGCGACTTAGGTGGAAGATGAAGATGAGATAAGAGTTAGACATTATCATGAAATAAAAGAAAAACTGGTTAGGTTGAAACAATAAATAACTAAAAAAAACTTTAACGATAAAGTTGATATGGTGACGTTGAGAGAATTATAAAATAGGATCCAAAAGGGAGTTTGTATAGTAATATAATTGGAGCAAAAGAGAGAAGAAGGTCTATTGAAAGATGGCAGCAAGGCGTAGAGAAGAATTTAAGAAAATTGAATATAAGGGGAGGAGAAGAGAAAGAAAGGGGAAAAATTAAGGCACGTTGTTAATGAGGCCAAGGTCTTCGTTAGGCTGTAGCGCCAAGGAGTAAAGCACGTACCACTCTTGATGGTGAAAGTGGGTATGTAATCCTCTCAGGATGGTTGTGGACCTCACAGCTAGTATTTCCTAAGTACCACTGTGAATCAGTTACCCTGTACTGCCTCATAACTTACTCGAAATGTCACTGTAGTAGCTTATTAATGAAGTGGATTAAGATCTGGTCGGCGAAATATTGCCCCGCAGATAAGAAAAAATCAGCAGCTACCAGTGACATCCTCCAACTACATGTCCCTGTCTCAAAGCAAATGTAGATAGTAGACAAATAAGCTTGCAGATACCTGTCTTATGGCTGGCACTTCAGCACGGGAGGACACTATTTGCTAAACCTGACCAGGCTTTAGAGTATTCAGGGTGACCACGACATACCTTCTTTCAAAGCAAACCACAATACTGTTTGTACAAAACCACTGCTTTGTTTACTATAATTATAGATTTGATTTGGTCTATAACAATCATAAGAGCTAACATGATTTGCTAGTGCTCCGTGGACATGTTACTGATCTTGACTATGTCTCCCAACATGTCTGTACTCTCAGCATGTCAACTCAACATGTCTGTACTTCACATTTTGCATGTGGTTAGTAGGGGCAATAGGACAAGGAGGCAATAGGACAAGGAGTTTAGGGGTTTTTTCCTATAAGAATAACATAGGGATAATTTTTTAGCCACTTTTCCAAAAACCCTGATCTTTGCCTATACAAGCCTATATAAATGTCTTTGTGGAAATCCATGAGTTCTGGCTACTTGGGAACCCAAGCCATTTGACATACAACAAATCACCCTTCCTCCGAATTACCTTCTCTACAAATACATGTCTTTATACTTGGTCTTTAGCAACTCCTCTGTATAGAATCGTCCCCTGATTATATTGCCATTTTCATCTTTCAAGATATAAGTCACAGGCTGTGTATTCTTAACTTCTGCTATTGTAAACAGCTCCCCTGTTCCAATTTGGGGTATAACCTTTACTAAACACATGTTTATACTTAGAAATCCTCACGCTATCACCCACCTTATATCTTGGCTTTTTAACTTGCACTACTTTAGAAGTCAACCTCTCATGCACATATTTTACTATTCTTAACACTCACTTGGTTAGGCTTCATTCCTATAGATCTATGCACTTTAATATTATATTTCCTAATTAACATTGGAAGTAAATCCAACCATTTATTTATAACTTCCCTGAGCACTAAATTCCCTATAAACAATTCTTTAAAGTTCTCTGGAACCTCTCCACAATTAATTGCAGCCTTAGTTGTGGAAAAAGTGTGATAGCGATTAATATTTAGTTTGCTAAAATATTGATTAAAAAATTATTTTCAATTGTCAGATTGAATGTTTTTAACCCCCTTTGGTAGAATGGTTTTAATGGCTTCTGTAACTACTAACCCTGTCTTATTCTTTGGTGGAGCAGCATAAGCTTTTTTTAGAAAATTTATCTATTAAAGTTAAGATATATTTAATGCCGGACTTTGAACCATTTCGCCATATCTCAAATAGTTTTCGAAATATAAGTATTTTAAAACAATATTATAGACTTAAAAAATTTCAAGGTGTGCAAAAATGTCAAAAAAGTCTAGACATTGAAAATTTTCGTGATAACTGTTATTTCTGCCCACATAAAATAATGTTAAAATTGTTTTTATTTTTTAATATTTGTATGTTGTATTATTGTTTATAATCAAAAGTTGATATCGACGTAGTGTGCCAGAATTGTAACCGTTTCGCCGTATCTCAAGCCGTTTTCGAGATATAAGCATTTTAAAACCATATTATGGACTTAAACAATTTTAGGTGTTCAAAAATGTCAAAAAAAAAACTATGAATAAGAAAGTACTATCTTTTGATGATGACAAGAGGCCTATTCTGAAAGATGACATCAATACTCTTGCTCTTAGTCATTATAAAATTGGCCAAACATAAATCTATATTTGCCATTATTATTTTGCCTTTCCATGTCTATTATGAAAAAGCCATATTTAGTTTTATCCCAACTTTAGAGGAAGAGATCACTAAATTGTTCATAGTTTTTTTTTACATTTTTGCACACCTAAAATTGATTAAGTCCATAATATGGTTTTAAAGTGCTTATATATCTCGAAAACAGCTTGAGATACGGCAAAACGGTTAAAATTCTAGCACACTACGTGGGTATCAACTTTTGATTATAAGCAATAATACAACATAAAATATAAAAAAATATAAAAATTTAACATTATTTTATATGGGCACAAATAACAGTTATCACAAAAATTTTCAGAGTTTGAATTTTAGTGACATTTTTGCACATCTTTAAATTTTTTAAGTCCATAATATTGTTTTAAAATACTTATATCTCGAAAACTATTTGAGATATGGCAAAATGGTTAAGAGTCCGGCATTAAATATATCTTAACTTTAATAGATACATTTTATGAAAAAGCTTATGCTGTTCCAGTAAAGAATAAGACAGGGTTGGTGGTTACAGAAGCCATTAAAACCATTCTACCAAAGGGGGTTAAAAACATTCAATCTGACAATGGAAAAGAATTTTTTAATCAATATTTTAGCAAACTAATGAAAAACATAAATATTAATCACTATCACACTTTTTCTACAACTAAGGCTGCAATTGTGGAGAGGTTTCAGAGAACTTTAAAGAATTGGTTATATAGGGAATTTAGTGCTCAGGGAAGTTATAAAGGGTTGGATTTACTTCAAAAAGTTTATTAGGAAATATAATAATAAAGCGCATAGATCTATAGGAATGAAGACTGACCAAGTGAGTGTTAAGAATAGTAAATATGTGCTTGAGAGGTTGAATTCTAAAGTAGTGCAAGTTAAAAAGCCAAGATATAAGGTGGGTGATAGCGTGAGGATTTATAAGTATAAACATGTGTTTAGTAAAGGTTATACCCCAAATTGGAACAGGGGAGCTATTTACAATAGCAGAAGTTAAGAATACAAAGCCTGTGACTTATATCTTGAAAGATGAAAATGACAATATAATCAGGGGAGGATTCTATACAAAGGAGTTGCTAAAGACCAAGTATAAAGAGATGTATTATGTAGATAAGGCAATTCGGAGGAAGGATTGATTTGTTGTATGTCAAATGGCTTGGGTTCCCAAGTAGCCAGAACTCATGGATTTCTTCAAAGGATGCCATTTCATCACGTCAATACTAGAGGCAAGAAGACCGAGCACGCCATGAGCCGGGAGCGCGCCCGAGTTCACGTACAAACCTCGCACGATTTTGAAGATATACATGCGAATGGATATGGATTTGAAATGTTAATGGAGTTGTACAATGGTATTGAACATTTATATAGGGTTGTATAGGCAAAGATCAGGGTTTTTGAAAAAGTGGCTAAAAATGATCCCTATGTTATTCTTATGGGGAAAACGCCTTAAGTGGCTTCTCTTTGTCCTATTGCCCTTACTAACCACATGCAAAATGTGAAGTACAGACATGTTGAGTTGACATGCTGAGAGTACAGACATGTTGGAAGACATAGTCAAGATCAGTAACATGTCCACGGAGTACTAGAAAATCATGTTAGCTCTTATGATTGTTATAGACCGACCAAATCAAATCTGTAATTATAGTGAACAAAGCAGTGACTAAAGGGGAGGAAGAAAAGCTAACCACGCACACGAAGAACCTGTCGGGGGCGATCCTAAAAGTGCATCACGAATACATAGAGCTTCAGGGAGCCTATCAGGAACAGAAGAGCATAATATTTTATTGGCAATTGCCGTTTGGAATCAATCAATAAATAACAAATAAATAAATAGGACTTCGCTAAAGGCAAACCAAGAGACTCCCATCAGAAGACGTTATTAAGAAGATTGAAAGGGCGGTAAATATCACCCTTACCAAAGGAAAGGTGGAAGCCGTTGCCAAAACAGCATTGCCAAAAGAAAATGTATAGGTCACAAAATTAAGCACCTCGCTGCAGAATTCTACGACAAATGTTAAGCAAACAAATGTGGGGCACTAGATACGAAATAAAGGAGAATGTTGCTGTACGTTCTTGAATCCTGAACAAAATTAATTAAGAATCAAAAGGCTCTCCAAGATCAGATATGGAGGAGTTGTCATAGAAGCACAAAATAAAAAATCGATATTGCCAAAGGGAAAAATAGGGAATGACCTTGAAGTCC